TTTAATTTACCCAAAGAGTGAAGTGTTAATTATTTAAAGTGTTAATAAAGTGATAATTAAATATTGCAGGATATAACAGATGTTATATAAAAATGGGCTGCATGGCTACCTAACTTGTGACGTTATTATTGGGGGTTGCCTTGACACAAATAATGATACACTGCTCTGCCCTCTTATTCGAGTAAATTATTCAGTTAGATGGAGATTTCTGTCACGTGCAAAACAGAAAATGTTCTTTTTCACAACAACCTTGTTGTTGCGCACAAGGACCTATTTCTTAGTTTAAATTTTATTCGTAAAAGAGTGTTGGTATTCCTCGCAACAGCCAATCACAGGAAGGTATTCCTGGAAGCTCAGCCTCCTTATGGACTCGGCACATCGCTCTAGCTCATGGCTCTCTGTTTCATCTCTTGTATATACAAACTATGACTTTTTTGATTACTGTTATAATTATTAATAATATGAGATATAAAAGTTTTTACACAAAATGGCTAAATTCTGCCATTAAATGGACTTTGTCTGGTATACATACAAACATACACCAATTACCATTCATCCATTATTAATTTCAAATGTAATGTATACTGTAGTTTTTTTCCTCTCACCATTACTTGGTGCAATATTTGAAAGTTGTCTATTTATTTATCGATCTATCTATTACCTTGTATTTATATTTGCAAGTTTCTGTGCTTGGAAGAAAACTCTACATTGAATTAGGACTAATTTATTAAATAATATTATTTAGTATTAATTAATATAAACAATTATTATTATTTACAATTATTTATAGCTTAGTTACTTTCATGTAACTCGCAATCGTACATTCTTAACAACAATAGCCCAAATTAGCACATCTTGCTTTTAAATTAGCCCAAAAAAGTAGCAAGTAGCGAAATTAAAAATTTGGGAGCGCGGGGCTCTCAGAAGTAGCCCAACTCGCTACTTGTAGCCCAATCTGGCAACACTGGTCCTTTATCAACTGACCGTTCTGCTGCTTATTGAGGAAGATTTTGACTGGAAACAGTTAGTTTAGTTTAGTTCATTTATTATGCACCCCATACCCATCTTGTGGGCGGTAGTGGAAAGGGTTACAGAGGCACATAATGGGCTCAGGGATTGAACCCCACAATTCATTTAGCTAAGCAAGTTTCAATCATGATGAGCTAGTTACAAAATTCAATATAAGTCGTCACATCAACAATGGGTTCGAGATCGACCTCAAGTACAGGTTCTAAATTAAGCAACTGACATATGTGGAGAGCTAGTGTCAATTTATGTTTGTCCTGCACACCGCCCCCCATCTAGTGGGCAGCGGTGGATAGGTTACAATCACTCAGTTACTACCTACAGTTAGCAAACTGGGGATATTTGGCTAAAATTTCTGGTAGCAGATCATTTTGAATGAAATATTTACACATCGCTGGAACAACAGTGAACGTTTATGACATCCCCAGAAGATTTTCTCGTATCACTGGCAGGGCTTTAAAGGATTTTCCCGATATGCTGAATATTAAATATGTCGCTGTAGGACTCTTCCAGAGATGCTTGACTTAAAAAAAATAAAGTCTTAGTTTTATAGTTTTTTCCACATCTTGCCCGAAACACTGTGTATTAGTGGCTTTAGGCATAGTATATACTTGCTCTATCTAAAATCCAACATTTTGCTTGTAACTCAATATGTATGTACGTTTACCTAAATACAAATTTAATTATTTATTTTATTTATTTATACCTGAGCAACTCTTACCTCCGTAAAGTAACTGCTTCCTCTGGTTGTTTTAACAGCTCCGGGAAACTTAAAGAATTTAATATGACGTATTTAGAATTCAGCTTCTCAAGGAATGTGTACTTGTAACTTTTATGTGTTTAGAAACATGCACTGCTTACTTCACTATGAATTACAACAATCACATCGAGAAATTCTGGGCAATCCCCAGATGTGAGTTCAAACGAACCATATATTTGATCATATATATATATTTCCGGATTGTATCTTGTTCAGGACTGATGCCACTTTTTTCGCCATAAGCAAGGTCAATTACTTGCACAAAAAAAAATTGTTAGCTTAGATTTCCCAAAACTGAAGTTTTATAGAAAAATTAAAAGCACAAAACTTGAAACTGCCAAATTTACATTAAATTTCAAGAATAAGTAATACGTCAATCTTTGGTTATCTTTCTAAACTATGAAATAAAATATTTTGACCCTGTGACTCTCTAAGGTCAGTACTGCGGAAGATGCGCAGACAAATTACGTCTGAATTTCGCTTGTTTGCCTGTATAGCCAAAAATGGACGCAATTTGAAAATTAATAATTTAAATTAAAAAATAAAAAACATCAAGTTAAGGGTCCTTTGGTAGGTTAAGAGAGCAGGAAGTTCTCCTAAGGTTTCAAAACGTTAATTGAAAACCATTAATTGAAAGTTTCCTCTCCTAACCTAACCGAGTAAGCCAGAGGACTCAATACAGAATACGGGACAGTACGTCAGTTTCGCGAGCCAATTTTCCCTTCGAAAATCGAAACCTTACACACAATTTCCCCCTTGTTCATTGAAAATTTCCGTGATGATCGTCAGTGTTCCTCCTTCCCCCCCCACCAGCTTCCCAGAGCTGAGGTGGGTGGGCGGGGCTCCAAGGGCACCTGAACAGGTTCCAGTGACGTAGGTTCACCAATAAGCTGAGGTTTTCTGGGCTCCAAAGGGACGCTGGAGGCTAGGGAGAAGGTGGGGGGGGGGAACCTTTGGGGTTAGGGAGAGGGTAAGGAACCTTTGGGGTTAGGGAGAGGGTAAGGAACCTTTGGGGTTAGGGAGAGGGTGAGGAACCTTTGGGGCTAGGGAGAGGGTGAGGAACCTTTGGGACTAGGGAGAGGGTGAGGAACATTTGGGACTAGGGAGAGGGTGAGGAACCTTTGGTACTAGGGAGAGGGTGATGAACCTTTATGACTAGAGAGAGAGGGCGAGGAACCTTTGTGGTTAGGAAGAGGATTTCATAGGAGTCATTGGTTGTCGGAATAGGAGCCAATCCTAATTAAAGAGGGACATAGGTGTTGAACCCCAACTTCCCTATGACACTCTCCACACAATCACAAATCATGACGGAGAGTTGCGCGAGGCTAACCACAAATGCCTGTCCTCCAGCCTCGAACACAGACAAGCAAATTAAGAGATATTTTCTTTTTATAGATATATATTTATATATATTAGCTAAGCATTCCCGACTGGCCAATGACTCTCATTAACCCTCCCCTCACCGTGTGTCATCTTGGATAGTTGGGTGAGGCTAGTCTCATGCATTTGGTCGCCTCCTTTGCACAGACATAATCTATTTTATATATTTAATAATATACTACTACTACTACTACTAATAATAATAATAATGCCAATATTAACATCCATATAGTATTAAGATTCATTCCCCGAACCAAATTAAGCCTTGTAACTGGCTTAATTCGAATTATATTATTGTAATTAATAAATGAACAATAATATAAATACTGTAATAAGTATTAATGCTGTAATTAAGTATTATTAACATTATTATGCAATGAAACCTTCGTAAATATACTTGGTTCACAGGGATTTCCAAGTCATTTACAGGGGAAAAAAAGTTGGGTGACCAACGTTATAAGAAAATAAATATGTAGCCGACTTTTGACCTTTGACGGAAGATTATTGGAATGTGTTTGTGGGCGCTAGATCCTCCTAGCCTCCATAGTGCTAGGTTTGAGCCCCTGTATGATGTCATATACTAGCCCTAGTGTCAGAGCCTATATCCATTTTAGCTCTATAGCCAATTATATAGTGCCTATCTATCCAAGCCCTACAGTGCCAGATCCTTGTCTCTACTGTTTAGGTCCAAGTCCCAGTACCCATATTGTAGCTCCTTATATATATCCTACAATATTACTAATGGCCTAACATGTATTATACGTGCTGTCTGCCTGTCCCGAATGGATTGTCACAAGACTATACTTGTGATCGGCCTCGAACCCATTGTTGATATAACAATATTCATCACAGTTTTGTACCTTGCTTAACAAGACTAACTTGCTTAGCTAAATGAAATTGGGGTTCAGTCCCTGAGCCAATTATGTGCCTCTGTAACCATTTCCACTACCGCCCTCTGGATGGGTATGGGGTGCATAATAAATATTTTTTTTTATAAAAAGCTAATCTAATATTTCCAATCCAAGGCCTTGTATGCCTAATTAGCATATGTTAACTTGGATCTAATATAGTATATATTATGTGCTATACTAGGCCTAGGAATTAAGTTAATGTTTAAGTTTTGTTTTTGGCTTGTCATTTCGTGCCTCTACAAAATTAATAGTACAAGTTTAGTTAGTTTTACAAAATGTGAACATTGTTGGCTGCAACCCAATATTTTTGTACGTTTGACCAAATCTATTATTTTAGAAGCATGAGTTTATTAGCCTACATGGAAGATTTACTTAACTCGCATAGCAGTAATATACAGTACAGCAGAAAGGCAAATTTATAATGAAGCTATTAATGATTAAGTTAATTAAAATATAATGGACAGTTCAATTACCAATAATATATCATGAAACTTGACACTAAATTTATTTTGTATATATTCTATAGACAGCAGCAGGGCGACCTGTAAGAAAAATTATCTTCCTAACTTCATAGTTTTTTTAGTTTAGTTCATTTATTATGCACCCCATACCCATCTTGTGGGCGGTAGTGGAAAGGGTTACAGAGGCACATAATGGGCTCAGGGACTGAACCCCACAATTCATTTAGCTAAGCAAGTTACAATCTTGATGAGCTAGTTACAAAATCCCCACGTTTCTGAAAATAGATTAGTGGCTTTAGGCAAAGTATATACTTACTCTATCTAGAAATCCAACATTCTGCTTGTAACTCAATATATATGTGTACTTTTACCTAAATAATAAATAAATAATAAATAAATAAATATTTCTTTATTTATTTATTTAACATAGATTAATTCAAAGGTCCCTGAAGAGATGTAAACAAGAAAAACAAGTGTTAGAGCCAGCTGACTGATGTAAACACGTTGGGCAGGTGAGTGCCTGTTCCTGCTGCCTGGAGCTGTTGCCTGGAGCTGTTGCCTGGAGCCTGGCGTTGACAGGTTCTGGATCGCCACAAGGTAATCTGACTCTTAATACTGATTGTCCTAGGCTGTGTGTGAAGGACCTACGTAGTGAATCCCGTCATCTTGAGATGTGCGGCCGGAGTGTCTTGTGGTGCGGACGTCTACTCCTGTCTCTCCTACACGGCTTTACCTGACATATACTGCTGCACCTGCCAAATATCTCTGCACCTGTAATACACCGCTACACCTGTCATTCACCACTACACCTGTCATTAACCACTAAACCTGCCATACACCGCAACACCTACCATACACCGCAACACCTGCCATACACCGCAACACCTGCCATACACCGCAACACCTGCCATACATTGGTACACCTATTCACCGCTGCTGTTATACAACAATCATACCGCCATACAAGTTAAGAGTACACCTTATTGCAAATAATGTCTTGCCTATAATAGCATTATCAATTCTTAAGAGACATACCTTCACCTCCCAGGCCTCACTATATACCTTGAGGCAATACAGTATACAGTTGTTTCCCTTTATGTGTACTAGTTGTGTATCTTTGTTAGATATACTAAATCCCTTATAGACAAAACATTATTTTTTATTAACATTATTGTTAATAAAGTCTATTCTTAACTAATTGTGTCTTGACGTTGATGCATGTTTGAATCACAAGCACATTATTAGGGTCATATGATGGGAGTCCAGGGATCTGGGGTAGATGTCATCGTATGGCTTGAATATTTTCTCACTGATTTTGATATTTTCATTTTTAAAATTGCTGTCATTGCCATTCAGTTTCTCAATTTTGAGATGGGGAGGCAATTGGCCCTTAGTGGGGATAAGCTATATCCCCAACCTAGTCTCCTGCTTGAGTTGCTTGTTGTTATAGATTCAGCTACTCAGAACAAGTTCCAAGTAGCACGCGCTATGGTGAGCCCGTAACTTATCTGGCACAGGAGCGGGGCAAGTAGCACGGGCTATGGTGAGCATGTAGTGACTTACCTGGCACAGGAGTGGTGCCTGTGTGTCTCCTGCTTGAGATAACCACTTCCTTATGTCAAGATGATACCTGGTTGATACCTGGTTGATGGGGTTCTGGGAGTTCGTCTACTCCCCAAGCCCGGCCCGAGGCCAGGCTCGACTTGTGAGAGTTTGGTCCACCAGGCTGTTGCTTGGAGCGGCCCGCAGGCCCACATACCCACCACAGCCCGGTTGGTCCGGCACTCCTTGGAGGAATAAATCTAGTTTCCTCTTGAAAATGTCCACGGTTGTTCCGGCAATATTTCTTATGCTTGCTGGGAGGACGTTGAACAACCGCAGACCTCTGATGTTTATACAGTGTTCTCTGATTGTGCCTATGGCACCTCTGCTCTTCATTGGTTCTATTCTACATTTTCTTCCATGTCGTTCACTCCAGTACGTTGTTATTTTACTGTGTAGATTTGGTACTTGGCCCTCCAGTATCTTCCAGGTGTATATTATTTGATATCTCTCTCGTCTTCTTTCTAGTGAGTACATTTGGAGGGCTTTGAGACGATCCCAATAATTTAGGTGCTTTATTGCGTCTATGCGTGCCGTATATGTTCTCTGTATTCCCTCTATTTCAGCAATCTCTCCTGCTTTGAAGGGGGAAGTGAGTACTGAGCAGTACTCAAGACGGGACAACACAAGTGCCTTGAAGAGTACAACCATTGTGATGGGATCCCTGGATTTGAAAGTTCTCGTAATCCATCCTATCATTTTTCTGGCTGTCGCAATATTTGCTTGGTTATGCTCCTTAAACATTAGGTCGTCAGACATTATTATTCCCAAATCCTTTACATGCTGTTTTCCTACTATGGGTACATTTGATTGTGTTTTGTACTCTGTATTATGTTTAAGGTCCTCATTTTTACCGTACCTGAGTACCTGGAATTTATCACTGTTAAACATCATGTTATTTTCTGATGCCCAGTCGAAAACTTTATTAATATCAGCTTGAAGTTTTTCAATGTCCTCAGCCGAGGTAATTTTCATACTGATTTTTGTGTCATCTGCAAAGGATGATACGAAGCTGTGACTTGTATTTTTGTCTATATCTGATATGAGAATAAGGAAAAGCAGTGGTGCAAGGACTGTACCCTGAGGTACAGAGCTTTTCACTGCACTTGGACTAGATTTTATATGGTTGACAGTTACTCGCTGAGTCCTGTTTGACAGAAAACTGAGTATCCAGCGTCCTACTTTACCGGTTATTCCCATTGACTTCATTTTGTGTGCTATCACGCCATGGTCACATTTATCGAAGGCCTTTGCGAAGTCCGTGTATATCACATCAGCATTCTGTTTCTCTTCTAATGCCTCAGTGACTTTGTCGTAGTGCTCAAGTAGCTGTGAGAGGCACGATCTTCCCGCTCGAAATCCATGTTGGCCTGGGTTATGAAGGTCATTGGTCTCCATGAAATTGGTGACCTGACTCCTAATCACTCTCTCAAATACTTTTATGATGTGCGATGTTAGTGCAACTGGTCTATGATGGTGATGATATCGAGCAATGAGGACCCTATTTCTAAATCTTTATCTTCAACAACCAGCCAAGCATTTCTAAACTTAGGTCACAGTTCAGATCCTTATTGGCTTAACTCTTGAATTTGGGATATCATGTTTTGATAATGTTATGTTGTTAAGTTTAGATTATGAACAAATTAGAAAAAGGGTGACCCGTCATGAAAATAATAACAATAATGTTTCTATTTATGATTTTCTAATAAAATTGAATCTCACCTGGTGCTTTATTCGCCTTTTAAATGTGCTAAATAATTCTTCAGTAATGCAAGAAAATTTTACACATAATTTTTACCAACATATACTAAATAGAACAATATAGTACTGTACAAATTATTTTGACCAATCTGTAAGACTATGCTGTACAGTAGCCGGTAAAATACTCTACAGTACTTGTATAAAAACAATTTTTAATTAGTACATTGTTAATGTTATAATGAATATATTCCTGTATCTTACAGGGGCAGTTTAGAAGCTTGCTTTCTACTCTTATAATAAAATTTGAAGACGAAACATAATGCAGTTGCAGACTTTGATTGGTTTAACAAGGGTGTCTGTCAGCATTTGGCCTAAAGCTGCAGGTGTAATGAGACATTTCTTGCAAGCAAACATGAAATCACCACAACTAATGTACAGTTTCATGCGTCCATATAGGTAAGTAGAAGCGGATCCTCAACTTGTTACTTACCCGGTATATCATACTACATTGTACAATAATTCAATCAGTTTTAGGAATTACTAGTTTCAGCACTTGGTGTAAACCATAACATAATATGTCAGTTTTAACATTCATAAATATAGACTGTAGATGGCTTTATTATTGTCTTTTATAAAAAAAAAGTGTAAGATAAAAATTTTGGCATTGGCATCTTCAGTGGTGGAATGTTACCTAGGCAACATTCATTTATGTTTATTGTCACAACACTGGTAAAATACAAACTAGCCCTTGGCATTATCTCAAAAGTTATGTTAAGTTATGCAAACAACATATCCGGAATGAAAGATTGTAACATTGTTGTTAATTTAAGCAATCAAATGGTATTGTAATTATCAATCTGTAATAGGAATGCAGTAGCCCCAAGGTCAAATCTTGCTGAAGAGGCATGTATGTTATTGGGCTTATGATAGTTTCCAGAGTATTCCCTCTGGCTTGTAAGTCCAACTGATACTATCATTGCCAGGGACAGGAAGCCAATTAGACTCTCCCTAGTGATGGATGAGGCTGTGTGCAGGCACCCAACCCATTACTGGCAGGTGATAAAAGACAATCTAATGAGTTGGGTAGACTTAAAGATTTTATTGTATGGTATCACTCAAGCATTTTCCTTACAGTGGTGGTGACTTGAAGATTTATACAAGAACTGGGGATAAAGGAACCACGAATCTTTATTCAGGGGAACGTCAACGAAAAGATGGCCCCTTCTTCAAGGCTTTGGGGACAACTGATGAACTTTCTTCTCATATTGGGTAAGGCTGTCAGTGTAAGGTGCATAATTATATGGTTATGTAATATTCTAAGGAATTTTTGTTACCATACAGTATCAAAGTAATTTTCTGTGTTACAAGTTTTTAACCATAACATTACATTATTTATATGGAAGAAGTTATTCATGCTTTATACTGTATTTATAAAATTTTCTCTATATATTTATCAATTTTTTATATTATACTAAAAAGGCATCTATGAGGACTGAGTATTTAAATAAACAGCACTTTACTCATAAAAGAAATTCTGTAGTACAGTACTTATAATTTATCTATGGTTGACGTGGTAAGGCTGGCTAAAGAGTACGCAGCAGAAAAAAAGCACGAGTATGCTGACCAGTTGGAGAGGATTCAGTGCATCCTTCAGGATATTTCCAGCCTTCTTGCCACACCACGACCACAGTATGCTACTGGTAGGTGTTCATTTATGAAAGTGTAGTTTTAGTAATGCAGTACTGTAGAATATATAAAGTTTGTAGATTAATCTTTTCTTTTATGTTTTTTGCTTATTTTGTTAATGCTATTAACTTCAGTAGTACCTAAACCTTCAGACATCCCAGCAACTGACCCAATATTCCACTGAGATGTATACCTAATTGTGACATTTGTTTTTATTTAAGTTTGCCTACTGTGCTCTTAATAAGATTAAACAGAATTTTCAAGTGCCACGGGTGATTATTATTTTGTATTTCGTCCAGTTTATGGTTATGTATATCAGATTAATTGTTCTATTAATAATTAAATCTCAGAAAAGTATTATTAAGGGAATTATATAGAATACAAAACACATCGTTTCTAAATATTCTTAGAGTACAACTTCACATGTAACAAATATTATTGTTCTTTTGTAGACCCTGCAAAAGTATGATGTTTACATAATTTTTATTTTATAAATTGGCATTACTGTATATCCTATGGTTTCTTGTTCCTGTTGGGAACTAATATGTGTTTAAAAAAAATTATCATCTCTTTTTATTTTTTTATGTTCTATTGTTTTCTTTGACTTGCCGCATGCAGATGTTTCACCCGCAATGGTACGTGATTTAATTCGATTTTAAATGAATGTATTTTATTCTATTCTTTTATTTTTATTTATTCATGTTAATGCTATTATGTATGATCGGTACATATTTTGCTTGTAAACATCATTTCATGCTGAAAAGGCTGTTATTCAGTGGGCTGTATACTCAATGATTGGTAAGAGTATAGCTGTTTCTAGGTTCTCTGCTGTGCTGTTTGGATACTGGCTAACAGTGGTATATTTAGCCAAAATATATTGCAGTGACAGGCTGTGTAATACTTTGTGATGTTTTGCACAGGGTTACCAGCCACCAAGTTCTGTTTTCCTTTGGGAAAAAATGGTGGCAAACTTGTATACTATATATACAGTACTTCATTGATATAGTATATATACCAAGCAGTACATAGCTGAAGTGAAGTTCATTCAACAACGAATAAATTATATTTTGACATTTGTTGTTGCTGCTTAAGCTCTTTGCATGATCCATGATATTATCACAGGAAATATCTTATATTTTTGTAGAACCTAGGGCAGCAAATATGATTGTCACAAGACCTTTTGCTGGTGGATTTATGAAGACATTCTTGGTGGATTTGATTACCAATTGATGTTTCCCCCCCCCCCACATTAGGGGGTGACATTTGATTCTGGCTCTAGCAGATGGTAGCATGTACTGTGCCTAGGCACACATTCTGAAGAACCAAGGACCTGTTCGAACATTACAGCATTTGTAAACTTTCTCCATATACTGTACTTGGAGAGAAGCAAAATACCACAGTAAATGAACATTTTTATCAATTTTACTGGATTTAAACACCACAACAAAAGTGTTAGCTTGTTTGATTTCCTTTAGAACAAAATTTATCATTTCGTTTAATTTCTTGGATTTATTTTATTTGTTTTCGATCTTGTCTTATTATTGAATTATTATTCAGTGTTGAATCTGGATAAACCAGAAGTAACCTACAGTCTTTGCATTTACATTTTTTCTTACTTAATCCCTAAAAGTGAAGCTATCATAAAAAATGATAGTTGTCTGCCTGTTTGCAAAAAAAAAAAAAAAGTCATCACTGGCTTTACTCATTTAATAATTGAACACACGATAATTTTCAGCTCATATAGCCTTAATATTAAGCATCAGTTTTTAATCTTCTGATATCTAGCATGTGCTCTATGCATCTTATATACCTTGTTTCAACCAATGGCAGCAATGCAGAACTGTTGGTTTGATTTAATAGGGACTTATTAATGCTTCTGGAACCACTATTTTCTAATTATATCATGCCTACACTGTTGACACACATCATAAGAATGCTATCACCAGCTTGCACTTATCAGTGAGAATGTTGTTTTGATGTAAACTTCATAGGCGGGAGATGTGACCATGCCGTCCTCAGTCAGTTGGAAGGGAATTCTAGAGATGATAATGTGCAAAAATTGTTTGCCAGCCTTTTGTTTTTATGATTAGGAGAATTATTTAGGTTAATATAACTTAAAATCTTTGCTATTTTTCTTTTCCAATTAAATGTAATCCAGGGTGTATCGTAGGGGCTCCATAAATTCAAGGTAATGAAACGGTTGAAATCTTTCAAGGCAAGTGAAACCTTGATTACCTTCAAATTAATGCCAAAGCAGAAGTTATACTTTATAAAGGTTATTGTTGCAGAATGATCTCTATGAAGTTTGATTCATAGACTATACATATTTAATATATTGATATTGAATTTGTCTCCATTGATTTGATTCTTCTGATTTTCTTCTTTACAGATGACCCAGAGAGAGAGACGCGCATACGAGAGAGGCTGTCATTCAATCCACGCCACATAATAGAGTTAGAAGAATGGATAGACAAGTATAGTTCTGTACTTCCACCTCTCACCAATTTCATTTTGCCAGTGAGTTATTTCAACTTATTTGTGACATGTATTACAAGGTGCCTTGTTTCTCTGCTCAGGATGTTATGAACTTTTCTTGTGTTGGTGCACCTGAACTGCAATGACCTTGATAGACATAATTTAAATCTGAAGCATTTTTTATAGCCTTTCATGCACTGATGTACAGTAATTGTACAATTATAATAAAAAGATAATTTTAATAATTGTTTTCTGAGTGCCAGCTGTGGTAACTTGTATCATGTTTATGAACTTTCATGTATATAGACTAACATATAACCATGTAAAAGCATTTACAAAACTGTAAATTTACTAATTTCTTGAAGAAATTATTTCCCTTTTAAGTACTTTCTTTTTACTCTGCAGGGCGGTGGGCGGGTGAGTGCATCTTTGCATGTTGCACGCACAGTGTGTCGACGAGCCGAGCGAACCATCGTTCCCCTTATCTTTGAGGGTTTAATTGATGAGCAAATTATTATCTATATTAACAGGTAAGTCCTCTTTACCTGATGACTACATTTCTAATGCTTTCAAGAGTTGAAAATGTGGAATATTTTTCAGAGAATTATATATGTTGGTTTGGCTATTTGAAATGTAAAGTACTCAACACTAATCTTGTACTGTACTTAGAAATGAGAATGTGGGTGAAGTTGGGGCATAATGCATATGAGCATGTCTGTTGGAGCACATTGGAATTCATTGTGTATGTTCACGTGTCTGAGGTATATTTGTATGCACGCTTGCAATATGTTAGGACATATTAGGACAGTGCTTCTTAAGATATGGGCACCACACAACCGCTGCATATTCTAGCTTTGGCCTAACAAAAGTCGTGATAAGTATCTAGTCAACTGTGCTTAAGAGTTTTTGGTGAAGCTCATGATAAACTGTTTTGAAAGTTTATGTCCAGTGAATGCAAACAAATAATTTTTTCTCTTGTTCCATTACATTCCTCCATTTTCATGTGTGCACAGTAGCCTTTTATTGTATTAAGGGAAATAATGGTTTGTGTTGCTTGAAAGTTTTTTAAGTGTTATGTCAGTTAAATATTTCTGGGGAAGCCCCTTGGTGGGTGCCTGAAGCTATGTTGCTGAGATAGCTTCCCAGTATTGGGAAGATGTCTCAGCCTCAGGATCTCACCCAGAAAGGGACTTTATCATTACATTCAATGCTGAGTTTTCATATTCATGATTGCAATTTTCCAAGATGAAAAATGTACTGAAAAGCGATATGGCAGTGATTTGAGTTGCTTATGCTTGAATGGTATTTTCCTATAATTTGAGAGATTTCTATCAGTTTCCTTGTGAGAAATAGGGAAAATTATATATTTTAATTGTGATACTGTCAGATCAGTTTTTGATTATGAAATATAACCTGGGAGGTAGAAGATTGAAGGCTTAAAAATGCTAGTAGTTCTCTTATCAGTGATAATTGAGTGGGTGCAGAGGTACTGTACACAATTTCATCCCCAAGCCCGGCCCGAGGCCAGGCTCGACTTGTGAGAGATTTGGTTAGGTCAGTTTCCTCTAAGTGTTGCACTTTAGTGGTAGTATAATGTGTGGGACCTTTTTTACTGACTGTATGTTATAATAAATGCAGTAGTAGCTTGTGGTTTGTATAAATCACATGCAATTCTTATACATATTTCTTGAAAGGCTTGATTCCATTACATTATGCATATATATATTGGCCCTCCTAATGCTACCCCCTGTTATATATTACAGACTAAGTGACTACCTATTCACTGTGGCAAGATATGCATCTTTCCTGGATGGCAATAAAGAAACCATATATATCCGACCCCAACCACACAAATCAAGGAAAGACGACAGGAGAATTTCCGAGAACCAAGAAATAATTAGAAATGATGGTTGAGTGTAATTTAACACTGATGAACTTCCCGACAATGAATTTTAAGTATCAAAATACAGTAGTTAATCAGTATATATATGCATAAATAAGTACTATACCAAAATAATGGACAATAGTATTTTTTGTAATGTTTAGTATGAATGCAAATATCTATTATATATAGTATCATACAATATACTGTACACTTTATTGTGCTTTATCCAGATTAGTATTAATTATATTATGCAGTTAACATTGAACATTATTAATAATTTACCTTAAAATATTAAATTCAATATTGTACTGTAATACAGTAATATTATTTGCCTTTATTCCCATTAGTTCTATTTTATTAAATATTATAATGTGTAAGTCCAGAATGAAATACAGTACTGTTCTTTACTTATACACCACCATACTTTTTCTGATTTAAAGATATTAGTTTAGATTAGACTGATTTTGTGATTCTCTCGCTCTCTCTTGTTCTTAGTATTGTACATAGTGTATATTTGTTCTCTGTAAAATTGACCTCATAAAGCTTTAACTTAATTATGATTATCATTTCTCCAGCTGCCAAGACAGTTTACATATTAAATTATTTTTATAGTTTTAATTAAGAGTCAAGGAATCACTTTTTCTGTTTTAATGCAGATTTTTTATAGTGTGACAGATTTTAAAATCAAATTTACCTGAGGGCCACTAATACTAGTGGCTTAGATGAGGGCAGAAAGACGGCAGCATGTCAAAGGTTTCCCCATTTGCCCTGATGAGTTTTAAAATATAGCTGGAAGAGTTTTGACTTCAGCGGGTAGGCAGTTCCACGAGTTTACAACCTTATGGGTGAGAAAACATCTCCTGTTTTCTGTACCTAAATGGAGTACCTAAGGTTTTTTAAAACCTTATCCACACTATAAAAATATATATGCAAGATAAAATTTGACATGAAATTCACTTAATACACTGAAATACTACTACTGGAATTTTCAACACATTGGTGCAAAAGACTCTCAAGAGCTTGCAGTTAATAAACTATATTCATTCGTGAATTTGTGAAACATTTAAGGCTTTCATCATCATCATTATTAATGAGATGGGGAGGCAACTGCCTGGAAGAAAATAAGAAATAAAGAACAAAATGCAAAATAAACACAACCATTCATTATAATTTTTGTAATAACCAGTTTCATAATTTGGCAATACCACATACCAACATAGTAAGATATCAGGGGCTTTTGATACTACCATCTGTTCAGCTCAACTAGTGAGAGGCCACATTAGTTTTGAGAAATGTTTCACTAGATAACTAGGTTTCACTAGATAACGCGCGGACTCGTAATTCTGTGGCGCGGGTTCGATTCCCGCACGAGGCAGAAACAAATGGGCAAAGTTTCTTTCACCCTGAATGCCCCTGTTACCTAGCAGTAAATAGGTACCTGGGAGTTAGTCAGCTGTCACGGGCTGCTTCCTGGGGGTGGAGGCCTGGTCGAGGACCGGGCCGCGGGGACACTAAAGCCCCGAAATCATCTCAAGATATTACCGTACTGTAAAATGACTACACGACATTTTATAAACATTACCTGTGGTGCAGTGGTCAGTGAAGTTGGCTTACAACTTGAAGGTCCCAGATTTGATTCTTGGACAGGATGAGATGTTTGTGCACATTACCTTACTCCTAATGCCTCTATTCACCTAGCAGTACATATATACCTAGGAGTTTTAGGCAACTGTTGTTAACTGTACCCAGGGAAAGGCGAGTCAATAGTCAAGAGAAACCTCAATAATCCTAACAGGTTTCCTGTCCTCAATAATAGTGAATTGGTATACAGCAGTACATCTGGTGAGATTTTATTTAAAATAGGAAAATTGACTTTAAAAATTAACCTCTACAGTTTTTGGGATTTTTATCAATATTGTCTTCTTAACAAAATTCTGCCAGATGTACTTTTTATACAGTATGCAGATTAAGGATAATGGGTTCCAATATTATCAATTACAGGTATACAATTCAATGTATTACTTCATTACTGCATATAAAGCCATTCCTATTATATCCATACGAAGTAATGCATTGAATTTATTGAAGATAATCGGTAAAAAAAAACTATTTAATCATCATACTATACATAAAATTACATCTCGTGAAATTTTGAATTAAATTAATATTGACAGAAATCTGAGCTACTAAGATTCATGCATTTTCAAGGGCCAAAAAAATTATAATTTTATTTTTATACAAAATCTCATCATGTGGTGTTGTCCATATTTTACAAACCAACCTCTTCTATTCAACTGATTTGACTTCCCCAACACTATGGTAAAGATTGTGAATAACTTAATAAACATTCAATCATGATTTAATTAATATATATTTACATAGGAATATTCAAAACATATATTTGAAAAAATACAATCCAGTATAAGCATACCTTAAAAATCTATAATAATTTCTCGTACACAAGTCATAGATTTTTTTAAAGTATATTGTGCAACAACTCTCATGTGGCATTCATAATGACTTGCTTTTCAAGTGCAACAAGAGAAACATATAAGATTACATACAATAAAAGGCACCTTACATGACCTATTCAACATAATATTTGGAGACATCCTATTTCCCAGTGCATGGTAGGCAAAGATATCAGCCAGAAAATGGCACAAAATGCCGTTTAATCCCCCCCCCCCCAAAAAAAAAAAATTGATCTATATTTGAAACAAATAAGATCTATGTAGATTTAAAACCTCTTCAGTCCATGTGTAAATTGAAGGGTAGGTGAATGCCCAACAATTTAAATCACTCGTGTCAATGTCAATATATTTTATCAAATTTATAAGTCAATAAATTTATTATCTCGGTGCTGAGATGAGTATGGTTCATTAGCACAGTGAATTACCATGGAAAATTTTAAGAAAATTGAATTAAACTGTTAATCTGATGCTGCAATACAATGATTTGCCTTTAAAAAAACCAAAGCACAAGGCGTTTGCTACATTGCCGAATCTCGCTAAATGATATCTGCTTGCCTTTCAGCATCACTACGTGATAGATGTCACTGCATTCAGAAAAGGCAGATAGTTGGTAGTACAGTAATGTTGAACTAATGGTAACAATATGTAATTGTAATTTGCTGTACAGCATGTAAAACTAGCACAATAAATGTGGCTATATGTTGTAAAGCAAGAAAATTAAAAGTTCTGACAGTAATAACAAGATTTTACAACTAATTGTACACAATGAAAATTTCTCTTGTACAGTAATTATATATTGGAAATAAAACCAGGATCGCGCATATTGAGAACTGATCGCTTTTAAATCCTCATAATAATTACAGACTAAACATCATATACATTATTACTATAATATATCAAATATTAGACAGGAAAAATACAAGTATAATTATTCTCACACATACACACACACAAAGGCCAAGGAAAGTATTTACATTTGGAAGAAATCAAATAAAACTCACTGGATACAAAGAGCTGATGCACAGAGATAAACAAGACGTGTGAATGAGATAAAACCTGATGTAGTATTGGTATGACGACGAGCGACCACCACCATACAATCACACAGAAAAGTAGTGTATGTGTGGCTGATAATTTTCTCAGGAAAACAGTTAAGTATAGCCATGAATGCAGCATCCATTTAAAATATACAAATTCTTTCATAGCCAGCTAACATGAGCTGCTCAGAAAATGTTGCCAGTATGCCTCTTGAACTCAGTCACTCTTGTGTTATGAAGCTCATTAATTCATCACTGAGAATGTTGGAAACCAAGTGAAATAATCATGGACAAAAGACACACAAGAATATGAAAAACTTAAAAATACAATACTCTTAACTATAATGGCAAGATTAATTTTGTTATATCCCCTAAGTAAGCCCACCAGAGCTGCTGAATCCCTGCACTCTACATACATAATGTATCCAACATCTGGAAGTCTTTTAAGATAAAACAAAAATCAATTTAATCAGATATGATACATTTATAGGTGTTACCAATGATGAAAAGACTTCATATCTCAGCTTGAATACTGAAGTCCGTATGTGATCATTCCGCTTCTGGTATCCTAATTATATACACACCATTCCTTTTATCAGGAATTTCTTAAAACATGTATAGTAGTTCTACTTATTTTCATTAAACTTAATAAAGTAAAAGCACAAACAGTTTTTTTTACTTAAGTGATCAATTTAATGATAAAAACATATCAATTAATGCATTTCTTAATGCAATTAAAAATAAACAGAAGATTAATTAAAGTTACTGAATGACATACACTAGATATTCAAGACTGATAATTTATCTGTCAATATTATTCTTTACTAAAATATGTCAAGCTTCAGTTTTAAAGAAGTTGGCTCCTTTGAACAGAGCTTTGTGTTTTGCTTAATGGTCCTCTTCACAAACCTTTTGGGTTGCCCATTTCTCTTAAGATTTTATCATATTCATATCGAAAGTGTACAACCTTAAATTCCTGACTCAATATTTTCATTAATACATAATGTTTGTCTATCTTTTAAGTCATTAATTATTCTTGCCTATCAGTGGTAATTGAAAACGTAACTTTTAATAATACTGTACCACATTATGCATCTGTTAACTCGGTTGTTTCTATGACATAGTGATCACAGTATAAATGAGCAGTATACAACAGTTAAGACACAACACTAAATACTGTACAGTATATGCAAAAATATATTTATGGCATTTATTAATCAATGGATAAACAAAGCTGCAACAATTTTAGCATCAGCAGCAGCAACCTATCTAGATAGAGCCAAGTGCCCTTGACTCATTCGCTCCAGTTTCTCAAAATGTTTCCGTGCATTACGGATGTTGATCAAGGTTGCCGCGGATGCTGTAGAAAAAATATGCATATTTAATATAGTGTACTTAAATTATAAAATGTAATTTTATGGGATCAAGTGTTTATTTTTCAGATAAAATTTTCACTTTACAACAGGTAAATGTATACAGTAATGTCATACAGTAACACTAGCTGTGCCTTCTCCCATAATTGTGTAGATGTAAAAAAAAAAAAAAAAAAAAAAAAAAAAAAAAAAAAAAAAAAAAAAAAAGAGATATCTAGAGTCAGGGATCTTGGCAAGATTAAATGACCATCTAAGAATATATAATGCATTAATACCCATCTAAGCATGCTTGGTTATGAAACCTTGATAGGTGTAAGTAGGCGACTACCTTGAAATATATTACAGTATAGTGTAATATACCTCTAAGCATGCTTGGTCATGACATTAAACAAAATTTGAGAGTTAGATGCTTACAGCACAAATAGTTGAAGTATAAAACCAATACAGTACTTAAATATTAAAGGAAAAATACTCTCACCATACTTACGTATTGATGCATCCGACATAATGACCATGCAGTACGTATTTGAGGTAAATATATCAATGAAGGCAGCAAAGTTGGAATTGCGGACTTCCATGCTCTGGAAATGTGCTGCTAACTTGCTGCAAGATAAAGTGTGTTTTAATATTAAATAATTTCTGTTTATTACTTGTACTGTATATATATTTTTTAAACATGAGAATACAAATTGTATTGTGAACTATGAATTGGGCAGAATAATAGTAATAAGTACTTGTGGAAAGAAGAAAAAAGTATCTGAATGCTTGTACTGTAACAAAATCTGAGATGTCTGAATGGCAAATGGATGACGATGTCCCCAAAGTTGAAAAACATTCAAGAATAAAAGTTTATTAAGATTAAGAGACAGAGTTGGCGGATAAAAAGAGAATTGAAAATGAACTTGAAGGAGAGACTTCAATCAGATGAAAATTAATATATTGTGGGAAGTACACAAAGAATGTTAGAATAGGAATGCTATGGTGGCATGTGTTATTACACAAGCAGGTAAGAGAATGAGAGTAAATGCTTGGTGTGACAAGCAAATGTTAAGAGCAGTTGACAAAAAAAAAAAAAAATGGATACACACTGAATAGACAGACAAAAAAAGAGGGAGTATGATAAGAGAATAAAAGATGTACATGTGTAAAGATTAGTCAATTGGAAAATAAAATGAACAAAAAGCCCAGATATAAATACAAATTATTTAAAAAACAGGAAGCAAAATTTGGTTATGTACAATGACGTTGTGGAGAAAATGGTGCTAGCAAGTGGTGGAGCAGTGGGACCGAGATTAAACAAAACAACCACAATGGTGAAATGGGCAATCCCTTTACAAAGAAGTTAGTGCTTCCATGGATGACCAACACCAAACAAATTATATAAGATAGTCAACATTTGTGGCCGAAATATATGCTCTTATTTGATGATAATTTAAAACCAAATACATACCTGCAAGAGAGCTTGAATTGCTTGATTATATTTGAGACCTTCTCAAAGCGGTTAATATCCCTGTGTGGCCGCATGCGGTAGTGAGATATGACTAAAAATGTTGCTCTTTCAAACAACAATACTTCATCTGCATCAATGATATTGGCAAAATCCTTCAGGTTTTGTTCCAACTCCTTCACATTTGGAATTAACTCATACACAATACTAGACCAAGCCTGAGGAGTAAATGTTCAAGTCATACACAATGCTAGAGCAAACCTAAGGAGTAAACATTCAACTCGGTAATAAATATTTACATTAAAGAAACATTTTGCAATACAATAGTGCATTAACTTTTTGTCAAAGATATACTGATATAAGATAATGTTGTAAACCAGAAAATTGACTACGTATTTGATTAAACAAGCGCAATAATGATCCAGAAATAAACAGAACTCCACAGCTCTATCCTATACCAAGTTTGACTTTATTAAAACTAACAGAAACCTTGGACAGATATCTTCACAAGCACAAAACACCATATTATTAGACTGCCTTCTGCTGCCGTAATCTAGCAAAGTTAGTACTAAGAGTGGACAAAAGTTAACATTACGTAAGTGATCTGCACAACACTTTCATCATGGCAAACTGCTTAGGTGAGTTAGGACCAAAGTTTTGCCATTCATGATTACTTAACCCTTAAGCGGTTCTCTTAATTAAAAGTCCTACTTTGTGGTGTGCATCTGGCAATTCAAGCACAGGAGACAATTGCAGATAGAGAGCAGGTATCCAGCAGATTCGAGCCATTTAAGAGTTAATGAAATGGCAACACTTAGTTACTTATAAGATAAGAAACGAGCCTCAAATTATCCGCAGGTACATTTTACAGCTAGAAGCTGATGCAGGAATACAATTAGTTCTATTGCAACATCAATCCTTTACATCAACACCAATTGATCAGGTTTAATCTTTATTTGCCATAGAAACAGTACAATAAATATTTAAATACATTAGGGTAACGTGAACAATTGGTTGTTCCTTACTAAGTTTATTATAATGAATATCTTACCATCTTTAACTAATCAATAGGTTTTTAGAATCAAACCCATGATTATCCTGACTGCATACTTATTATATTCAGCAGTCACTACAAATTTAAAGAACTAAAATATGAACAGAATACTGTATAAGTTACAATTTTAAGAACCTTCTTATTTTCCAAAATACAAAGAAAAGCAATATTTCCATTAAGCTAAAACAAACCTTTCACGTGAAAATATTGATTACAATGAACTAGAGTATATACATCACCTTGTAAAGTGTTTCATCCCATATTGAGGTCCTGAAGCAGACACATTCTAGGGGTTTTGACAAACGCTTCAGGTCCTCTTCCCTCTCGTGGAATATCTGAATTCATGACAATAAAACAATTCATGAAAATTCCATACAATAAAAATATATACTAAAATAAATAAAGCCCCAGCTTTATTTATAAGGGGCCAAGGAATCCTTGCCCCCTTATACCAATATATCTCAAGAATAAAATAATATGTAATAAAGTAGTGGTACTGTACCTCCAGATTACATCATTCTGAACCTGATCCAGAACTACAAATTATCTGGAATACTAGATATTTTATTTCTAATAGCACAAGTAATTATCAAAAGAAGGCACCAAACCGGGAAGGTTCTAATAGCACAAGAATAGCAAAAATAAACACTATCAGCTGTAAATTATTATACAGTACAATGCCAATTTGAACATAGCCAACACGTAGAGCAATGCAAATTTAGTGCAAATTCATGAAGGACAATTTTTCTGGAAACTGTTATGATGTACATTAATTGATGGTGTTCATTTTTTAGTCCGGGTATTTTCGGTTACACTGTACGTATTAATGAAAGATAACATTCTTTAATTGCATTAAAATATTCAGTCTACAGTGTTCACCCATTCCAGATCTTTTATTACTCTAACATTCCACACCGCCATACTAGCACACTTTTCTTTCCCAAGGCCTGGTCAGGTGCAGGCCCGAGATCTAAGGTCACTTCAACCCTTCAAGGAGAAGGAATTTGGTAAGCTGGATCCCCATACCAATGCCACCACTCCTTCATTAAGGAGAATTTAGAATTGATTGCACTACACAGCGTGAGGTGGTATGTGAATAAATTCCCCACACTTTAAAAATCTTATATAATCTCTCATCAATCTGGCAACAATTGCCTTATACTTATGATTAATTATAAGGTATATCAGACCATTTTGCCTTCATGGTTACAATACTTACAAGATCTCTCTGGTCATCCTGGACTAGATCCATTTTATGTATAAGACAAAAGACACGAGCCTCGGGTGAATTCTGTAAAATGGCTTCCAAACAGCTCTGGTAATAGTGCATGTCCCTCTCTGCAACAAATATATACCGAGGATAAATTTTACATACCATAACCGGAATAAACATCAGGCTCAGTTGTAAAGCTTGGGTTGATATATGATTAGAAAACTCACAATACAAAAATTTTAAGTAAATATATGTTGCTGGCTATAGGATAGGATCAGTAATTGTTAAGCAATAAACATTCTAATGTTGGTACAAGAAACTTTTCAAATGGTTCTTGCAAGTTTATACTGGTGTTCAGAAGCACTGAAGACAACTCAGTCCCACTTGGAATGGTTGCCAGAAGGCCAATTCATAAAATTTCAAAGCCCTTCTTGCAGTACTTGCCATAACATGACTAATAAAGTGTCCTCATTAACTACCAGTTGGGTCACCTGGCTACCTTCCCTGACCACAACTAGATGGCAGCACCATACAGGATTCCGTGACTCCCAACATAATGCTCAATGCTTCCTGCAGGGAACAAAATATACAAAGAATTGGGTAGAGAGAAAAGAGAGAGAGCCTGTCCAAGCAAACTTCTCAAACTGACCCAAAACTGCACACCTACTGGTGGGGTATGCAGAAAAGAAATTAGCAGCCTTCACTAAGTAACATTTGCCCACAGAACATGGTAAAATTACAGCACGATTGGTAATTCCTTTTATACTGTTCAGATGGAGTTTCTAATGATTTTTATAGATAGGTGCAACATTATGAGAAATAGCTGGAGCTGTGGGAAATCAACAACTGTACTCTTAGGTACAGTAATTAAAAACAAGCATGAAAAAGGTTCCGAGAGGTAAATTTAACCTAAAGAGGAGACCACAAAAGTGATAGGTGCTACCCACCCAAACCTAGACATCCTTGAACCTTGGATGAATGTTTATGAATCAAGCTTTTGCTCATCATTCTGAGCTGAATTGAGTCTTCAGTGCTTCCTAGCACTAGAATGACTACACACTTTAAAAAGTTACTTGTGGCTTTGCTGTTTGGGTGTGAGGATGTCACCTTGCCTGACTGATCCTGACCAACAGATACAATGATCTTACCCTAGGAAGCAATTGAGTGAGATATCCAAGAAAATAAAACCTAATCAAAACCATAAGACATCCCTACTGAGATTACCTATTGTTTACTGTTACAACGCTACTTGTCAAAATTGTTTCTCACCCAGTTCACGGCTTTCTACATCAAATACATATATAAGCACTTCTACATTCCTGAAGATGTTGTCTCTCTGGGAAGCAAAGTAGTTCTCCATGAACGCTTCTTGCCTGTCAATAAAGAATGGCATCTATAATATTCAATTAATTTAAATAATGACATGAAAATGGGAAACATGAGGATGGTAGAGATGGGGACATGCTGTATTTATTGTGGCCATTTTTCATAACTTTGTTTAATAATGTAATAATGTTTCATTCATATATTTTGTGAACAAGAGTTTACTATCAACCGTGTAAACTGCCTAATAAGCTGCCGATAAGAGTTCTACTCACCCTCCGCAGTCCCATAAGTTCAGTACCAAGTTGCCCAGAAACCGTACATGGGAGTGTTCTACATCAACTGAAATAGCCAAAACATTGTATATTCCTTATTACTTCATAATATTCCATGTGCTGTATAAACAGTATTATCTACCTGGAATTTATAATCACAAACTTGCTCTTAACTCTTACATCTTATTTAACTCTTCACTCTTCAGGTACATTATTTATAAACTCAAAAGAAATATTTTTGTAAGTACTGTACTAAATATTACCAGTATATATATATATCTGTTATAAATATGAATGGTCAACTATAAATGATATACTGTATGGTTGCAACATTTTAACAAAGTAATTAAGTATAAAGAAAGGTATGAAGATTTGGTTGTTCAGTAGTGTAGGGGTTTATCAATGAAGCCGGTTCACAAGTCAATGGTCCCAGGTTCAATTCCTGGGCAGTGACAGAGTAATGCAGCCGACTACTTTCGAGAACAATGATACACCAAAGTTTATGTCATTTATAGATTCTGATGTTAATAAACAAATTTCTTCCATCTTTCACTTTCTTTAAGATGAGATAGCATGGACAGCTTTATTCAAATTAGTTTATTGTTGTAACTTTTTATATACTGGTTCTGAGCCCATCCAGTCAAGCAAATACTCTACCTACTTGCTCTATTTTATTATATACTGTATCCAGATACAGTCTGGATATTTATTAATCTACCTGTATCACATTCCTTCTGGATAAATAAATTCCTACTAGTCTGTGATATATAAATATAATAATGGCTTGTGTAAATCACCCTAAGGTTAGAATTAAATTGCTAGAAGAATACCTTGGCATGAAAGTACAGTATGTGTAGAAATTTTTGTGCAGATATGCTTATTAGTTCATAAAATATTGCTCATGGATTATCCCCCTCCACCGACACAACAATATGTTCAAATGATCTAAAATCTGTCAATGAGGCTGAATGACAATAACAATAAGAACTATCTTTGTATTACCATGAGTAAATATGCAAAAATTAAACCAATACACAAAGGAATTCTCCAGATACCACACGGAAATGCAACAAAAATAATCCAATGAAAACCCTAAGATATCTTTACTGACAATATTGTCCACCTATTAAAAAGCAGAAACCTACTTGTTGCTCCAAGGCGACTGGTGTCTCGGGCAATATAGTTGGCAAATATGATGGATCTCATACTGGTTTTCCCAGATCCACTCTTACCCATCAGTAATACCTAGTAAGAAAAATATTATGGCAATAACAAAAATTATTTACGTTTGCCTATAATTTTATGATTAATGTATACAAATTTTTAAATTCCAATAATCATGTACAGTACAGTATTTGTTTGTTAATCAAAGCAGATGGTTGAAATGTTTTCTAGAAAAGTGTTTTTAATCAAGTACTGTACAGTGTACCTGAACATTAATCTTGTAATAGTAAATCTAGAGTAAATACAATTAAAATACTCAACAGTACTGTATATAGCTTGTTGAAAAAGAAATCTGGCTTTTGATGAATTTTCAGTTGTTAGAAAACACATCTTTTAAATCCATTTAAAAAATACAGTAAATTGATTACATTTCTCTAGACTAGTATACTGCAGAGGCACAGCAACAGATGGGTAGTTAACAAATGGAATGCTGTAAAGGAGAAAGTTGTGGAAGCCGCCTCCATTTACAACTTTAAGGCCCGATTCGACAAAGAATTAATAAGTCAGATTTGTTAAGTTGTAATGCAACAAGTACAACAAGGGTAGTTGGTGGGGCATACAGTTAGACTTCACTCCCTCGTAGGCACTCACAGGTAAGTAAGCCTTAGGAGTACTGCTACGGCCATGTATATAATTACGCTTTTCTCCTGATAATTCGTGCCTCAATATGTCAAAGTTATGAGTACACTATAAAGTACTGTATGTCTATGAACAAATTATATATATAGAATTCACATGAAGGTTTCATCAACCATACCCCCACATAAATCAAAGCTCACAATTTTGGAAAAGTACTTATTACATAAAATGTGTTTGCAAAACGAAGATTCTGTCATCAATCAACCTTTTTCTTCATCATTAGCCTGTAAAGTATCTTCGAGACGGGAAGAAAGGTGTCCTTGGCCGTAACTTGTGTGTAAAGTTAGTGATGAGAGGGGCAGGGTCCTCCTTCCTCGTCTGTCTGTTGACATTGGTCACGTGGGGGATACAGACCTAACATATGCTTCATTTTTAACACTACTCAAATGCCAATCAAGTCATGTAAAGGCTATTATTTTTAATATTCGGTGTTTATTGTTCATTCGATAATTTTTTTGGTAGTGATATCAACTATTTACAACTTCTATATAGCTAAGTAGAGACGGATGACATATTGTTGGAATTACCGTCATGTGATGATGAGCCAGCGCCCGTATGGCTCCATATTAATGAATTATGGGTATGGCTCCATATCAATTAATTATGGATATGGGTATGGGAAAGTCATATGAATATGGTTCCATATTAATTATGCAAGCTAACTAGCCGTGGGTGTAAATTTTACTATGGGCGACCTCCCACTTGCATAACAAAATTAAGTGGCAATTAAAAATGATTTATTGATTATTTTACTGTGTATACCTAAGCTTGTTAATAAAAAATCAATAAAAAATTTTTAATAACCACTTAATTTTGTGCATCTACGGATATATTTCTAAGCTCTATATATCATTTTCTGTATATTTTTAAATTAAAATTATATAAAAATGCTGTATAGCATAGCTCCTCACCACTCCAATCACTAAGTTAGCTAAATATATATACGTATACAGAATCAAGAGTTATAATTGCACATTTATTCAAAGCTTTCTTCACAGTACTTTGTGAAAAATTATTTAAAAGGTATTACCCATGCAGCATCTAAATATAGTCCACACATAACAATTAGATCTTAGAACTCAATCCCCTTTAATTTGCTCACCATTTATAATATATCAAGTTATGCTGACATGCATTATAGAATTGTATAAGAACATAAGAATAAAGATAACTGCAGAAGGCCTATTGGCCCATACAAGGCAGCTCCTATTTATAACCACCCAATCTCACAATATACAGTACAGTATATTCAAACACTGCTAGCATATCAATTACACTTCACAATATATATATATATACATCATGATCTTGCTAACACCAACATTAATAGAAACTTCCATATTGTTATGCCTTCCTTCCTAGAGGTTGGTAGTTAGCCTATAGGGTGGGAGGGGCGGGAAGGTGGACAGCCTCCATAAGCCTGAGTTCAGTTTCCTGTTCCTGACAATGTTAAATTGTCAAATGTTTCTTTAGACTTTAAAACTGCAATTAAAAAGGGCAGAGAAACTTCTTCCGGTGATCATAGCATGACTTTACAGTTACTTTCGAGTCTTTTTGCCAACATATCTAGCAGCCAACTGGTAGAACTGTACAAAATAAAGAGGTACGGTGAGGTATCTTTGAAGATTAATGAATGAAGAGCCTCATAATCCCAATACCAAGGTTAAGTTCCTACAAATATAGATCAACACTATTTTCCTGCATATGCATTTAGAATTTTGAGAAGATTGTGGTCAACATGTTATTGCTACAAATACAACAGCATCTTGTTCCTAACATGCATGATTTTCTCTCTAAGAGAAGTTCACAACCCTGCTTTGCTGAATATTTTATTAGGCAGGGACAAAGGACTTGTGTAGCTTTACTTGAACTCCATGCTGCTTTTGACACAGCTAATACAAAACTACTAGCCTTTGATGTTAATAAAATTTATCTACAGTACTGACATTGATCAAGGGGTACTTAAGTAACAGAACATTCCTCAGTCATTTGCAAGGGCATAACAAATTCAGGCAAAATGCTTTATTTTAAAGGTGAGTTACAAAAGAAAACAAGTTATGTAACAAGATTTATTACAATGATAACACAACAGTAACAATGAATACCCACACAAATATGTGGTCAACAACAAAACAGTCAAAGGCCTAGAACAATATACTGTATAGATGACTTTTTTTTTTTAGGATGTAAACATAAATTTGGGAAACAAATGGGATAATTTATTTACCAAATTCAAAGAGATGTGAAGTTTATGTGATGATAAAGTATGAGAGAATAATGAACCTGTACTGTAATAAACTGGTAGAGTAGTGCATTACCAGTTTATAGTGCAAATGACAGTACAGTACTGTGTGGCAGGAAGATGTTTATAGAATGTAAGAAGTCATTTATTTGCTTCATAAAATTAATTGATCACACTTAATGAGATGATAATATTACAAATCACATCATCAAATTTGCAAATGACACTAAGATATATGGTAAAGTGGGAAGTGAAAATTATATTAAGGCCATACAAAAAGATCTGTATGAATGCCACAAGTGGTCATACAGTCATGATTATAATCACTTATCAACTTGTATCATGGTTGTTGAACATGTTGAATGCAAATTTTACCACAATGTACCTATTAATAATCCTCAAATTATGCTACAATGTACCTATTAACTTTCTTCAAATTTTCTTACAATGTACCTGTTGATATTCTTCAGATTTTGCTATAAATTATCTACTTAAAATTATCCATTAGATTAATGACCTGCCTGAAATGCTATGCATGTTAGTGGCTTTGCAAGAATGTAAAAACATCAATGCTATGTACTCTCATAAACCCAATGTACCCTCTTGTCTATAAATAAATAAATTATGCTATTACTGCACATTTGAATAAATATATTGTACAAGAGTAACAGTAATGCTATTTTTAGATTTAATATGAATACTGTGTTATGTATGAAAAGATGTTTGTAAGCATATACAGTATGCATACTAAAGACATTAAATACAGTATATAGGTCTATTGTACTATGTATATATAAAATGAGCAGAGATATTTTCAATACAGTCCATACATATGAGAAATGTCCAAAGAAAGATAACATATTTAATAGCAGTGAGGAAATTTGTTCTCTTTATCCATTCTCATATATTCAGTGAAACATCTGAAGAACCACCTGGAGAACAATTACTCATATCCTGCTGTAGGCATAAACATCAGCTTATTGGACACACATAATATGCCCAATACATTTAGAAATTACTAAAGACTAATGTTTAAACCATAAGATATGTAACAGATTCAATCTGTTACATAAGATATGTAACAGATTCAACTGAGAAATATGCAACACAAATACAGATTCAATTGAGAAATTTTCAGTTGTCAATTACAGTTGTACTGCACAGTATTACATTATTACATCAGCTTCATGTTAATGACCATCTTCAGTGTAACTGCACAACATTAATTACTACATATAAAGGACGGCTAACTTTTATTAGATATTTTTAAAAAAAATCAGCTATAAAATATAGTTGTACAGTAACACTTAGAAAGTATTGCCTATATGTCTTTAAAACCTGCATAGTATTGATGAGAATTGTGGTTCTTGGTTGTGTACAAATACTACAAATACAAATACTTAAATGTACTACAGTACATTTAAGTTTGATTCCATAACCTAGAACTGGAATCAACTCAAGGAGGAAGCTAATAACAAATGTTACATTACTAAGTTTATGGACATAGTCTGTATGTTTATGATCACTATTATTGCTACATATAAATCAAATTCTTTATAAAAATGACATGGGGGGGGGGGGTTCAACTTGGAGATTAAAAGTCACACGTGTAGTACAGCTTGCTTCATTCTCAACTCACAATTGGAAATTTCGGGTTTAATTCCCAGGTGGGACAGTAATGATTGTGCACATTTCCATTCACCCAGTGCCATACACATGATGCGTGTGCATATGTGTGTGTACAGTACACACACACACACACACGACCTTGCATGTGGGGCAAAACAATGCGCATCTAAATTACCAAATCAACAACATTAACTTGCAGTAGATTGATGAAGAAAAGGACCTTAGAGTCAGGATTCACCAATCATTGAAAGATGTACAGCAAGTGGGAGTGGCAGTAAAAAAGAAAACCAAACCCTAGGAAGTTCAACAACCTTTGATTTCAAGGTAAAGAAGGTACCAGTAGTTATTCAAGTGCATAAATCTTTGGTGTGCCACCATTTGCACTATTGTATCTGAGCATGGAGACCTCATCTTCAGAAGGACATGCATGTTTGAGTGGAAGTTCAACACCAGACAATAAAAATCCTCCCAGAACTTCTCATATTAGGCACAGCTGAGGACTAGAGGGCTAAGAACAACATTATTTATATTTTACAATTATATGGGTGAAAAGATTAACATATAATACAAAATTAAAGCTATCATTAGTAAGATGATGAATGGTGTTTAATTTTGACGAAAGGAAAATTAATCCAACCATGGCAGTATACAGTTCTTGATAACAGATACGTTGTGATGCCAATCCGTGTGATACACTCCAGGAACTTCATACATCTTAATCTTCCCAGCTTTGTCCAGACTACGTAGGCCAAATAAATCATTTTGATAGAAAAACTGATCTCTCATCTCTGTTACATTTTCTTCTTTATCAAAGTAACCAAAATGGCTGAAAACAAAGACAAAATATATATATATACATATAACATTACCCTGAAAACATATCACAATAATAATCACAAACTTGAAAATTTTTGTTTCTCACCTAGACTGCCATGGGGTAATCACTCCATCATCCGGGCCCCCAATCAGAACAAGTTTCTTGAGTTTCATGAAATTATTACGATAGAATTTTTGGTATGACTCATTTATCTCATTGTTGAGATAAGGTAAATAGTTTGAGTACCTGTAAATAAAATTTTTAAACAAGCTTAGGATTAAAAATATAACCTGAAGCTCAAAATAATATCAATATTCAAAATTATTATATTATTATGGCCATTATTGTGACAAGTGTCACAGCAACACATTTTAAGATCATCTTGTAATAATACTGTACATCTTACAAACAAGAATGTTTACAAATGAGTTTGTGCTTTCCCATGTCACATGTTTTAGCATTTGTATAGAGTACTGTACCAGTACTCTGGTGCAGAGTACAGACATTTTTGAAATGTCAAGTCTGTAAAAACAATTAATGGACATGTAAGATAACAGTGGCAGCCTGAATGATTTATAATTAAGCAGTACTATACTTACTTATAATAAAGTGTTTGATGGTGAGGATCATTCCAATAGTTAGCCACAGATACTCTCTGGCCAACTCTTGAGTAAAAAACTTCATATGCTGTCTCTTTTATGTACTGTGGAAATATAAGTCGCAGAAAGTCATCTGTAATGAAAATTACATTTAGCAATATCCTTCTCTTCATACAAATCTTTCCAGAAACTACTTAATACTGCAAACAATATATCTATGCATGTTACCCGTGTTGGTTAGTTTGATAGCATTCACGCATGAGACTAAGTAGTGGAGCTGATAGTCATTTAGTGCTGAGGATTACTAAATGTGTATAATGCCACTGAACAATATTCTCAGGTGCTTTTTGTGAAAATTAATGCTTTTCATATTAATGAAAACAACTCTTCGATTCATTTTTTTGTAACAAATGAGACTTGATGAAAACAAATTGAGCCAACATGTCATCCACCATATTTGTGTCCACACTATCTCATCCTTCACTTGCTACTTGTACTGTATAGAGGATCATTAATTTTACTTATGTCTTGTTAAGAGGTCACCTACATCTTTTAACTAGTTTCACATTCATACAAAGATGGAGTTACCTGTACTGTACTGTAATAATTCATTATTTAATTGAATATTTGTATACATTTCACAATTAATATTTTCTCCAGTTGCACATTGGGGTACTCGTGGAATTGAAGAACTCCTAGAACCCTCTCCAGGTATGCTCAAGGTATGCACAAAAAAAAACACATTAATGTGACGTATCAATGAGAAAATCAGGAGCCATGAGGAGGATTTGAACATGGAGGATTTCATGCATAGGGGCAATACAGGAAAATCCTGACTTGGCTTCAATTGAAGCCTCAAGACCCCTAGAGGATTCCGCTGAATCCAAGGTTGCATTGCTTTTGACTATGTCATGGTGTAGTGGTCTAAGGCATGTGCTTGGGAATACTCAGAACATAGGTTCGAATCCTCCTCATGGCTTCTACAGATTTTCTTTTCTCCAGTTGTTAATGTTAAATCTGGATCTCTAGTTCATGCTACCTTTGCAATCCTCCTTTAAACACTGATGCCCTACAGTTATGCTTTTGAAATATTGTTTCCTCATATACTTAAATAATTATTTACATTTCTTACTAACAAAATACATTACAAAAGCCATGGCCTACAAATTAAAGCATGCATAGATAGTAGATTAAGTATTGGGTGAAATAGGCAGCCAGAATTTCTCAATGGATAAATGCATATACTGTAGATGTACAAAGGTCAGAGAGCAATTGTATGAGTCATGTATACAGTATTAGGAGAGAAAAATTTACACAACAAATTAGTTAGGACAGGATTAAATATCGAACCTCCATACTGGCCAGCCTGGGGTGATGATAAGGATATGAAAGTAGTAATATTATGGTCCATGGACTCCACAATTCCACGACTGATAATGCCCCCCTGAGAATAACCTGAAAAAACATTAAAAACTGTCATTGACAATATACATTTCTAGCACATGACTATAATTGCATCTGTAACCTTTTCTGTAACTAACTGTTACAGATTAATTTGAGTACATCCATGTTATTTACATTCCTCACTATTCATCTTAACTATCATTAGATACTTATGAACACAACAATTGATGTTTCATAAATATGTACTATATATAATTTGTTTAAACTGCCATGAATTTATAACACCATCTAATACTTTTAAGAAATGCTACAGACCCTAAGGAAAAATAATCAATAAATTAGTTCTTTATATCAAACATATTTCATGCAAGAAAATTAAAAGTACAACTACGACATATCTTACCTATTAGTATAATCCCATCTTGAGAAGCATCCATAATGGGCCGAATATGGGAGTAGAAGCTTTTCACTTGGTACCAGAGAGGAGCCAGAGACTTCCACCCATGCAGCATGTCAACAACATGAACTTCTGTGCCTGGGTGATACTAAAAAAAAAATATATACAGTATAAATCTATTTCAAGTCAAACACAGTTCAAAATAATGGACAAACATATATTACAGTGGATTTAGAAAAATATATAAATCCCTATGCATAAATTTGTTATGGTAATCATGCATATTTTGTAAATTAATCTGTAATATTACTACAGTATTATTATTATTATTATTACAGGTATTATTATTATTATTCTCTACTTCACAAAACAGTATCTCCAGCATATTATGAAACTTAACCTTCTCAAACTCATGTTTTTGCAATACAGTTGATTGAAATTTCTTTAAAATTAAACATGATTTATGTACAATGAGCACTACTTTACATGGCTATGAGTAATTCATATGAATCTACGAAAGTTACCTGCCTGCAAAGCAGTTAGGAACTCTTCCACAAAATATAAAAAAAAATTGCAACTTTAATTGGCTATTCCCTTTGCATTAATTTGGTTGGGTAGCTAAGATCACTGAAGTGTTATGGAACACCATGGATTGACATCTATTAAAATACTGGTACTGAAAAATTTTAATGAATGTACAGAACAGTATAAGGAAAAGTATTAAAATTAAATGTTAAAATTTGTAACGTATAGAAAATAATTTACAGCGAATTATTTACAATTACTGATACCTGGTCAGGAAAATATACTCTCTGATATAAGTATACCCAATACATACAGGTAAAATACTGTTACAAGTACATAATTACACATTATATTCTCACTCACTAATAAGGAAACAATGGCCACATATACTTAAACTATTCCAGAACAAATAAACATGCATATACTGTAAATATAAATGTTTTAAACTAACACACATTCATGAATACAGTACAGGCATTCCTCAATACTATGAAACACATGACGTTAGTTACAAAATTATTAATGTTGTATACACATGTACACACTCTCATACATACATGTATATATATATATATATATATATATATATATATATATATGTATACACATATACATACACATACATATCTAATCAACCACACAAATACACACATCAATAATCTTTGTGTCACAAGTGGTCAACAAGAGGCTCACAACTATACAAGGCACTTTATTCATCTTCTGGTGTGTGGTTTGGTCATAATATCTTCAGCCACGTTATTGTGACTCATCATCTGCATATGATCTTTATGTACTTGTATGTACTCAAACTAGTACATTAAACGTTCAAAATATTTTAATGAATCACTTGGGTGGCCGATATAATGAAGCAATAAGAAAGCATACACGACTAACTAAAGCACTCCCATGTACCTCTGTAATTTGATCTGCCAAGAAGTCCAAGCTGAACCTCAGGTCCCAGACGCCGTGTATGATAACCACCGGCTTGTAGGCCGTACACGATAACCAAATGAAGAAGGTGAAGGGTAACGCAGAGTAGGCCTTCATGCCGGGGTTTGTTTACACTTGATCAGCTGAGTGTCAATCATCTCGTTGCCAGTTCTTCTTTAGTTCTTCTTTACAAGAGTTCTTCTTTACAAGACTGTAATTACCATATTTGTATCCTCACATTCCTTATGTACATTCTTGTATATGCATAAATAAATAAATAAAATAAAGTTAGGGGTATTCCCGCCAGTGCGAGAGCGCGCGCGCCCACTTGGTCGCTTTCACTCTTGAAGCCATACGTGTACTTTTTTTTTTTTTTTTTTTTTTTTGAGATATATACAAGAGTTGTTACATTCTTGTACAGCCACTAGTACGCGTAGCGTTTCGGGCAAGTCCTTAATCCTATGGTCCCTGGAATACGATCCCCTGCCGCGAAGAATCGTTGTTACAACCAAGTACACATTTTACTGTTGCGTTAAACAGAGGCCACAGTTAAGGAATTGCGCCCAGTAAATCCTCCCCGGCCAGGATACGAACCCATGACATATAGCGCTCGCGGAACGCCAGGCGAGTGTCTTACCACTACACCACGGAGACTGCTAATTTAATTAAGATGTGTATACGTATACTTAAGACGAGTATTAATACATTCTCTAGTGCATTGTAAGCTGCAAGCGTCTTACTCGCTCATATCGTGATCACTGTAACATTAACACTGGTATTATAATTACGGTATACGGTGCTGCTGATTGATATGTGTGACAGAGTTCTTCACAAACAGCTAAATACAGAGTTGTTTAGCTCTGACCTGATATAATTCGCAGAGCCAAGCCTTAGCTCTTGGGCTTAGCCTTAGTTTCTAGCAGCGGCTGTGTATATACTCAGCTTTTTTTTAATTATTATAGTGTTTAACAACTTTTTTGCTGGTGGATTTGGATTTTTTGTTGGCGGGTTTGGAATTTTGGTGGATCCTAACTCCTAGGTCATTTTCTTCATCAATTAGGAAATTAGGGAAGACAGAAGAGCAGTTACTGACACTCAAAGGCCAGAAAGCATGAGTATAAAGTGCTATGGCAGGTTTAGAATCGAGAATTATATGTACGGGCAGTATAAAAATCTAATAAACAGTAGCATTAATTGCCAGAATTAAGCTGACATCCCATCGATATTCCAGATGTCATCCACCAAGTGGATGTCATCAACCTGGGATGACAGGTGGCTGCAAGTAATGAATTCCCCAATGGTGAACATCCCAATTGTAAACTCTGTGAACAAGAGCTGGGACATACTCTCCAACACTATATCTGTGATTGCCCTGTTATCAATGATTTCAGACCAAATGGTATGACGTACTTTGAGCTCTGTGATCACTTCATACACTCAGGAATATTGGAAGATATTCCTGTGCTGTAGCCAGATTTTGCTAGTGGATGCATTATAATAGATTAGTCTTACATTTCATGTTCTCTCCTGGTTCCATGTATGACTGGCAATCTCGTGAGATGGGGATATTAGATGAACTTATAGCTAGTTTTTTGATCTACACTTTAATCTTTCATACCGAATAGGGTAGCAGCACATTGTTGTATATACCTTAGCTTGTTAATAAAAATATGCATGGTAGATTTGTTGATAAGACAGATACGTGGAACAATGGTATGCCATACATATACAAACTATTGCATTTTAATGTTGAAAAACATGTATTGCCACTTTAATCTGTCCAATGAATTGTTTATTGTATGAATAAAATTAGTATTACTGTATATTATTAGTTATATAATTTTTTATTAACAAGCTTAGGTACACAAAGCAATGTTACCTTATTCTATAGGAAAGATTACAGTGTAGATAAAAAAAAAAAACTAGCTATAAGTTCATGTGGCATTTGACATCCCGAGAATCCTAGCGTCTCCACGTCGCACCTTTCATGATGTCACGAGCACCTCGTGACGTAGCGAGCACTATCCATGACGTCACGAGCCCCCTCATTATCCCGCTAAGGCTCAGGATCTATTTCCTAGTTGACACAGGGTTGCCAGATTGGGCTACAAGTAGCGAATTGGGCTACTTTTGAGAGCCCCGCGCTCCCAAATTTTTAATTTCGCTACTTGCTACTCTTTGGGCTAATTTAAAAGCAAGTTGGGCTAATTTGGGCTATTAATGTTAAGCAACTCAATGATTATTATTTATGGTCAGATGCAACACAAGCAAGCACCCCGCGATAGCAGCCATAGACTGACAATTTAAATGCGAGCACAGCACGCAGTATATCCTTTTATAACCAAAGATCACATTCTCTCCAAAAAAATCTTCCACTACCGTGCCACCTCTTGGGTAGTTTAATCTTCATCAATCAATCACAAACAAGGAACAACGATTTCAAGTTCAACAAGCCACAACTTAGGACAGAAAACAGATTTTTTTCACCCACATAGGGCATAACAATGCACAACTGCCAAATCATCAACATTATCTTGGAGTCAGAATCCACCAATCACTGATAGTTGTACAACAAGTGGAAGCTGCAGTTATAAAAGCAAACCAAATCCTTTGGAATAGTCAAACGAAATTTTGACGAAGGAAAAGGTAGTTATACAACTGTATAAATCTCTGGTGTGCTTCCACTTGATTATTATATCCACGCACTGAGACCTCATCTTCAGAAAAACATATCTGCTTTGGAGAAAGTTCAACACTGGGCGACTAAAATCTTTTCCGAACTAAGTCGACTTTCATACCAGGGACGGTTGAGGGCCACAGGGACTGAGGGGCTGCTCTCAGCAAAACTTTTAAATTATTGAACAATTTGGAAGATATTGACCCAGAACACTTCTTCAAAAGGCTAGATGTAAGACGAACAAGGAGCAACAAGGGTTTCGAGCTCACCTCACCAACTCAACAAGCCACACTGAAGGATGGAAAATATTTGTTTTCTCCTATATAATTATACAGTTGTGGAAACGCATACCCGCCGAAGCCGTAAATGCCATAACATTGGCATTTGTTTGGCCCCAAAACAAATGGGAGGGGCCTTCGACAAGCTAGACAACCTTCCTGTCCTCGTCGAGACCACTAGAGAGAGATACCTGAATTTGCCCGAGGGCCACCCTCGAGTAAATTTAGGGAAACCATGGAACCACCTTCCCGACGAAGCCGTAAATGATAAAACATTGCTCGATAAAATCACCAGGGCAAATAGGGGACATTTGACAAGCCGCCGGCTTCCTATCCTCACTGAGAGATAGTGACCCTCTGGTAAATTCAGGTGGTAGTAGGCATCCTTCAGTCTCGGGAGACTATGGAGTTGCGCCCTAGTTGTCAATCCTGGTGCAGCGTCTGATGTGACTGATGAGGCCAATCCAAGAGTGGCAGTCCATCCCACACTGAACACAAACGAAGTCTGATTCTGGTCTGTCTTCCTGGCTACCGGTCTTCCTTCTCTGTCTCTTTGCCTCCGATTTCTTGGCAAGTGACTCCTCGAACTTGGAGAGACCTCTTCGAACAGACTGCCCCCAGGCTGACCGGTCTGCAGCCAGTGTCTCCCACATAGCAAGATCGATGTCCATGGCTTTCAGGTCCCTCTTGCATACGTCTTTGTACCATAGCTGGGGCTTGCCTGTTGGATGCTTTCCCTGCATCAGCTCTCCATACAGGAGATCCTTGGGGATCCTGTCGTCGCCCATTCGCACAACGTGCCCGAGCCAGCGCATTCGTCTCTGTTTCAGCATTATGTACATGCTGGTGATTCTTGCTCTCCCCAAGACGTTGTTGTTTGTCACCTTGTCCTGCCAGGTGATGTCCAAGATGTGTCGAAGGCAGCGCATGTGGTTGGCATTCAGCTGTCTTTCCTGACGGACGCGGAATGTCCAAGACTCACTGCCATAAAGGAGTGCTCAGGACACAGGCTCTGTAAACCTGAATCTTAATATACTCAGTCAGCCTATTATAAATTCAGGTAAATCTTAGCTAATTAAATAATCCTGAAAAGTTTGCATATTGAAAGCAGGGCTGTGTTAGCAGCATTATACTCTCTGAGCAAAGCAATGCACTGTTGCCCTCCAACCCAGATGATGGGCACTGGGGCCCATGTCTGTGGACCTATACTTACAACCACGTTCTCATCTGTGGACCCTCCCTACTTTGGTACGGCTCTCAGTGTGCTTGGTAGAGTTAGGAGGGTGTTTGTCTGGTTAGGTTAGGTGTTTGTTGACCAGACCACACACTAGAAAGTGAAGGGACGACGACATTTCGGTCCGTCCTAGACCATTCTCAAGTCAATTGTGCATTCTCACAATCGACTTGAGAATGGTCCAGAACGGACCGAAACGTCGTCGTCCCTTCACTTTCTAGTGTGTGGTTTGGTCAACATATTTCAGCCACGTTATTGAGACTCCTCGTCTGCAGGTGTTTGTTTGCTAGGTCTGTAGGTACACAACTGGTCGGGTTCTGGTTACACTTGGACACGAGACGATTCGGCTAAACTCATTTTCTGTTTTAAATCCGGATGTATTGTTATGCTAGGCTGTATTAGGTTATGTTATTAAGGTTAGGCTGCATTGGGCTCGGTTGGATTAGATTGGTTTGATTTGGGTTACGTTAGGTTGGGTTGAGCTATGTTAGTCAGGTTTCAAAATTCAAAATTCCACTACGCCACGGAGCAGTCTCTGTGGCGCAGTGGTAAAGCACGCGCCCGGCTCTTCGCCAGCCCTTTGATCCTGGCCGGGAAGGACTGACCGGACGACACTCCTTAACTGTTCACCGAGCAGAGAATAGGTTGTTAAACGATTTGGCGGGTCATACTCCGGGGAAAATATTAGGATTAAGGACCTACCCGAAACGCTATGCATGCTATAGTGGCTTTACAAGAATTTAAAAACTCTTTTTTATATATAAATAAAAAAATAAATAAATCCGCCGACGAATCTTCTTGTGTGCGATGAGATTTAATTGTATCTGGCATAATTAAAATCTTAACTTAAATAATTTATTTGTTAGACAATATATGATATTCAGATCTATAAATTACTTTAGAAAGGCCTATAATGCATATAAATATTAATTTACACATTCCTGGCGCTATATACGCTAGGAATTTCAATAAGGCGTTCAAATAATTTTAGGCAGGGGGTCTCTGGGTCGGTTGGTCGCTACGGGTCATCAACTACGACCCCGCCAGTCGTCAGGAAGCAGCCGCGGAGTGCGGTGCGTCGCTCCCGTGATGGTAAGGCTGATAAGTTTTTTTTTTTTTTTTGCAAATGA